ATGAATTTATGAGAGTGGTTTCTCCTTCAATTGTGTAACGATCAGCTGATGATAAAAGTAACTCGGATCTGTCAAAGTAGTAACATCACAGTTTTATTCCCGTTTGTCCTCTTTCGATTAACGGTCACACATGCTCATGCTTGTCTCGAGCGCTCAACAATACGAGCATAAAGGAAGAACAGCGAGACAAAGGACAACCTGCAGTCGTATTAACTTACGTTATAATAGTATGCTATACGAAGTATTAGTGTGTGTGTGTGTGTGTGTGTGTGTGTGTGTGTGTGTGTGTGTGTGTGTAGGAAGCCCCCTACGTCATGATGAAGAAGAATTCCGAGCAGTTTCAAGACAATGACCGTTATGAAGGTATAACTTATCAATTGTATTTTGTGTGTGGGTGTCTGTTCATTCTGTAATTACATTCTAAATGAATTTCATTTACTTTGTTTACTCGATATTTTAGTTGAGTTTATGCCAAAGGGCATATTCTCGGGTATATTCTCGGGTGCTTGTCTAACACTGCTGATGTGTCTCTTTGTGCATGTGTGGCTTTTTTTGGACTGATGCTAGGTTATTGCGTAGATTTGGCTGCAGAGATTGCAAAGCATTGTGGTATACGTTACCAGCTCAGGATTGTGGGGGATGGCAAATACGGAGCGAGAGATGCAGAAACCAAGATCTGGAATGGTATGGTTGGAGAGCTGGTGTATGGGGTAAGAAATTAAATGTTTTTTTTCATGTTGGAACCAGAAGTGGAGAATGTTGTTTTTGGTGAAGCTCCAGATTTCTCCGTTGTCATTTCAAAGACCTGACTGTTATGAGATCACCGTCCGCTACTTATTGTGCTTTTTGCCATACTTCCCATTGGGACACACTCATGCACTAAAAACAGCATACTGTATATAATTTGAGACACAGCATCAGTCTTTCTTTTTTCTTGGACCAGACATTGGCAAGGAGCATGATGGGCAGTGTTACAGCATTAGGTCCTTAGCTCCCCTGGTGGAGAAAAATAAATAAAGCCAACTGTCAAATACTGTCACTCTGTCTTTTTGTTTCTATCAGAAAGCAGATATCGCAATTGCTCCTCTGACCATCACTCTTGTTCGTGAAGAAGTGATAGATTTCTCCAAACCATTCATGTCTTTGGGAATCTCCATCATGATCAAGAAGCCGCAGAAATCCAAACCAGGAGTCTTCTCCTTTCTGGACCCACTCGCCTATGAAATCTGGATGTGCATTGTCTTCGCCTATATAGGAGTTAGTGTGGTTCTCTTTCTGGTAAGTCAGACTGCTTATCTGTATTTATGTGTTTTTGTATTCCTACCAGCAGTGGCAGCTGGTGGAAAATATTTTTGGTGGGGCTATGGAAATGGTGACAAAAACATACTAGGGCATTTAAAATCAGGAGACTAAATACGAACTGTGTGTGTGTGTGTGTGTGTGTCTCTGTGTGTGTGTGTGTGTGTGTGTGTGTGTGTGTGTGTGTGTGTGTGTGTGTGTGTGTGTGTGTGTGTGTGTGTGTGTGTCATACTTGCCAACCCTCCCGATTTTCGCGGGAGACTCCCGATTTCTGACAAAATCAGATTTACTCACGACTGTTTCCACTCGGACTT